AAGGAGATCTTAAGAAAGTTTTTTTTTTTTTTTTAACATCTTCACTTCCAACAAGGCTGCAAGCAACCACTATAAGAGTTGGAAGTTACTGGAAGAGAAAAGACTAAATCTGTAGAGCAAGATAACGATTGACTGATGACTTAAAAGATTGCAAATTATATGAATCAGGAAAGCAAGATGAAGGAAGCGAATTCCAAAGAACTGATGTTCGAGGAAAAAAACTAGAAGAATAAGAGTTTTTGAAGCACTTAGGAACAGTCACAGAAAAAGGATGAGACTTAATTGAATGGCGAGTAACACGAGAATGAATTTTAGTAGATGGCACAAGGGTTGCTAGCTCTTTAGAGCAGTGCCCATTATAGTATTTGTAGAAAAGAGAAAGAGAAGCAACATTACGACGATGTGACAAAGGATGGAGATTGGCTGCCAGAGCAGGTCCAACTATGTTTACAATTCGTTTTTGCACCTTGTCTAAAAGAGAAAGAGCATCATTAGAAGATCCGCCCCAGATGTGGCAACAGTATTCCATACAGGGACGGATTTGAGATTTATAGAGATAGAGAATAGAATCTGGAGTAAGAAAGTGTCGAGCTCGATAAAGAGATGCAACCTTAGCAGATGCTAATTTTGCAATGGATTTGATATACGGTTTAAAAGAAAGATCAGAAGTAAGAGTTAATCCTAGAAGATGAATGGTAGATGACTCATTTAGTACATTACCATTCATAAATATAGGAAGATCTAAATTATTACAATAACGATTGGCCGAATAAAATTGAGTTTTATCTGAATTAAAGTTCACCAGCCACTGTGAGCCCCATGCTGTAGCAGAAGTGAGATCCTTTTCAAGCTCAGATACCCCCTCCAAGCAATCAGAGAGTGTAGGCTTCTTATCATGACAAGAGTAAATGGTAGTGTCGTCAGCGAATAATGCCACCTTAGATGTGAGAATATCTGGAAGATCGTTAATGTAAATTAAAAAGAGTATAGGGCCAAGGATTGAACCTTGAGGAACCCCTGAAGTTACAGGATGTGAAGAAGAGTGTTGTCCATCGAGGACAACTTTTATACTACGATTGGAAAGAAAGGACTCAATAATCTTAAAGACGTTACCAGCTACACCATAAGAAGAAAGCTTATGGAGAAGACCAGCATGCCAAACTTTATCAAAAGCTTTAGAAATGTCAAGTGCGATAGCCTTAACCTCTCCACCTCTATCTAATGCACGGTAAAACCTATCGGTTATTACTGTTAGCACATCAGCTGTAGAACGAGAAGACCGAAATCCATATTGATGATCGGAAAGTAAGTTATTTGATTCAAGATGAGAGATTAAGTGTTTGTTGATTAAAGATTCAAAAACCTTGCTTATGACAGGAAGAAGACTAATGGGACGGTAGTTAGATGAATCAGATCGCTCTCCGGAATTTTTGAAAATAGGGATAACAGATGCTGCTTTCCAGCATGATGGAAAACAAGACTCTGATAAGCACTTGTTAAATAGTTTAGAAAGTATGGATGAAAGCTCCGGAGAACACCTCTGCAAGACTACAACAGGAATGTTGTCAGGACCACAAGCTGTTGAAGAGTCTAAGCAGGAAATTACTTTAGATACAGAAGCTGAAGTGATGCGAATGTCAAGCAAGGGATCAACCTGTTTGACGGATATGTCAGGTAAAACGCAACTAGTGGAATCAAGAGATGATATTGATGAAAAGTTCTTAGCAAACAATTCAGCTTTGTCTTTAGGTGAGGTGACAAAGTCTGAACCATACAAGAGAGAAGGAATAACAGATTTGCCCTTATTATTGATACTGTTAAAGATTCTCCAGAAGTCTCGAGAGCCTAATTTTTGTGATGAGATACGAGATTTAATGACCTGGGAATAGCGAGCTTTGGCGTCAGACAAAACCTTTTTACAATGGTTTCTGGCGATAGTGAACAGATGTCTGTTTTCTGGAGAATTGTTTTGCTGATAGATATGGAAGTAACGGTTTCGATTAGAAATTGCTGCAGCGCAATGTGAGGAAAACCAAGGAGAAGAGTGAGGCTTGACCTGGAATCATCGAGAGAGAATAAAAGATTCCATGCCAGCCTGAATCCACGAAGTTATGTAAGAAGCACATTTGTCAGCAGGAAGACGAAAGATTTCTACCCAAGGGCCATCACAAAGAAAATCACGGAAAGAGTCCCAGTCAGCTTTAAGGTAGTTGTATGTGGTACGATGATAGGGGGATTCTGATGAAGTAGAAGAATTTGATAATAGTTTTAGAGAGATCAAACCGTGATCAGAAGTACCTAAGGGTGAATGTGGAGAAATTGAGCACTGACTAGGATCCAAAACAAGACATAAGTCGAGTAGAGAAGGTAAATGATTAGGGTTGTCTGGAAAACGAGTTGGAAAGTTAACTATTTGAGTTAGAGATTGAGAAAGGCAAAAGTTGAGGGCCTTATCGCCAGCAGAGTCACTGACACTAGAGCCAAGCCAATCGGTGTGATGGGCATTAAAGTCACCAACAACGACGATATTGGCTGATGGATAAAGAGAGAGGGCTTGGTCAATTTGATCAGAAATAACATCAAGAATAGTGCAATCTTGGGATGAAGGAGAGCGATATAGAACAAAGAGAAAGGCGATTGAGTGAAGTTGTGCTAAACGAAAGCACATAAATGAATAGTCTGTAGATTCAAACCTAGTTTCACGACAAATGGGTGAGTTCTTACGAATGTAGATGCCCAGGCCAAGCATGTGATTATTGGAGTCTTTACGAATTAAAGGAAGATAACCATCAACACTAAGATCACAAGATGGGACAGCCGAACTCAAATTAGTCTCACAAAGAGCAAGTAGGTCTGGTGAACTTTGCAAGAGATAAGACTCAACAGAAGAAAAGTTACTTCGAAGACCACGAATATTAGTAAATGATAGGTTTAGAGAACTTGGTGATGATGATGGTTTTTTGTGTTTTTTAGTTTTAGGTACTTTAGTCATTTTAAATTTATAAAGAACTTGACTCAAGTATAGATAGTACTCAGTACACTATTTAACAACTAAGCAATAGCCTCATTACTATTAATAAACCCTAAGCCGTAACAAAGGGCTCCAAATGTGGCCTCTGCAATGCACACCAAAAGTACAAACAGGGACACCATCCATGCGCAACATGGCACTGTTAGTACTCTGATATTTTTCGGCTGTTGATGGAATCAGCCTCTCTGAGAGCTACCACAGAGTTCGGGAAACCAGACTACCAGCCGGCCTCAGAACCATAAAACTGAGTTTTAGAGCTGTACCCTCATTAGGAGATAATAGAATGAGTTGCCCAGTCATAAAAATAGAGACACAAGCAATACCCACGCATTGAGTCAAGAAGATCCAGCGTTCAACATCCTAAACTGGAAACAATGTATTAAAAATACATTTGCGCCAGCCTAATAGATGAGGAAGGGGTGCGAGGCTGGTCAACAAATAGAATCTGTTTACCCCTTAAAAGTAGGCATTAAATCCATAATTAAGTCCATTAAAAAGTCCATTAAAATTAAAAAGTCCATTAAAAAGTCCATTAAAAAGTAGGCATTAAATCCATAATTAAGTAGAGTATTGTTTAAAAAAGTCAAACCTATAACTTATCTTCAAAAAGGTGTAATCTTTGCATAATGAGAAATATTTTATTTCAACATAAAATAAAGAACCTTTGTTAAATAAAAAAAGTGAATTGGTTTTGGCATGTAGGCACAGAAAAAAGTTTTTTCTGTGCCTACTTTTCTACTAATTTTTTTCAGCCAATCGTTATCGCAATAATTTAGACCTTCCTATATTTATGAATGGTAATGCATTCGATGAGTCTCCTACCCTTCATCTTCTAGGATTAACTCTTACTTCTGATCTTTTTTGAAAACCTTATATCAAATCCGTTGCAAAATTAGCATCTACTAAAGTCGCTTCTCTTTATCGAGCTTGTCACCTTCTTACTCTGGATTCTATTCTCTATCTCTATAAATCTCAAATCCGGACTTGTATGGAATACTGTTGCCATATCTGGGGTGGATCTTCTAATGATGCCCTTTCTCTTTTAGACAAGGTGCAAAAACACATTGTAAACATAGTTGGACCTGCTCTTGCAGCCAACCTTCAACCTCAGTCACATCGTTGTAATGTTGCATCTCTTTCTCTTTTCTACAAATACTATAATGGACTAAAATTCATTCTCGTGTTACTCATCATTCAATCAAGTCTCATCCTTTTTCTGTTACTGTTCCTAAGTGCTCCAAAAACTCTTTGTCTAGTTTTTTTCCTTGAACGTCAGATCTTTGGAATTCGCTTCCTTCATCTTGCTTTCCTGATTCATATAATTTACAATCTTTTAAGTCGTCTGCCAATCGTTATCTTGCTCTACAATCGTCATTTTTTCTCTTCCAGTAACTTTCAACACTAATTAGTGGTTGCTTGCAGCCTTGTTGGAAGCGGAGATGTTAAAAAAAAAAAAAACTGTCCCATCATGCTTGAAAAACCTTTATAAAATTAGTTTTTACTTAAAATACATTACTTTAGAAGTCCTGTCTTATTGTTTTCATCACTCATGCAGTTTACTGTTTCAAAAGTCTTCTCTCAACTGTTTTCTTGCTATTTTCTCCTTTGCTATCAGTTAACTACCAACTTACATAATTTTGATTGCAAAATTATGTAAGTTGGCTGGTCATTAAACCTCATATCAACAATGAAAAAAATCTTTCTTAACTTTTTGTTGGAGGCTTTAATAAAAGTTGATTTGTAGGATTCTATTACAATTATATAGTGTTTTTTTTGACTTTTTAAAACTGTTTCAAGTTTGTTGATTTGAGTTTCTTTTTAAGTTTTTTAATTTAATAGTTTGTTGATTTAAGTTTTTGATTTAATAGTTTGTCAATAGAAAAAAGAAGAAAAAACTAGCTGAATAATTTTGAAAGTTTCATAAGTATTGTTCAAAAAATGATTTTTTTATGATTTTATTTTTCTTTAGAAAACAAAAGGGTCGCATAAAGATTTGTTCAAAATCTGTTTTGTTTGATCCTTTGGATCTCAGTTTTCCTTTGCTTAAGGTAAAATTCAGATACACCTTGAATGATTTTTATGCTTTTATATTTATAATATATAATTTTTTTAAAAAGTTTCAAGTTTCGAGCTAAAAAGTGGAAAACACTTTTTTGCCCTAAAAAAATTTCCTTTATACTCCCAACCAAATGAAAACCTTTAGTTTATGTACTGAAGGAGGCTACTTAATTGCGGTTATAATTCTACAAAGAGGCTATTTAG